GGGCCGACGTGTGGGTCGGGGACCAGGGGTTGCCAGCAGCAGAGCAAGGCATGATCATTTTGGGGGCGCCCTTGGGATCTGACGTTTTCACCGGCCAGCACCTCAACAATCTTTCAGCCACCCATCAAGAGCTCCTGTCTCGTCTCCCAGAATTGCAAGACCTGCAGGCTTCTTGGCTCCTCCTGCTCTTTTGCGCCAGCCCTCGCTCCAACTACATCTTGCGGATGTTGCCGCCACCAGCTACCGCTGAGTTCTCCACACGCCATGACGAAGCCGTTGCCACGTGCCTGACAGAATTTGACCGCCGCAACCATCAATGCCAATGCTGCGCATTGGGGGTCCTGGGCCGACACCCTCCCCATCCTCCAGCAACAGCTTCCCAGCCTGGCCCACCCCATCGCCCAACAACTGCGCGACCCCACCAATGCATCCCCAGCCATCCAAGCAGCACAGTGGCCGCTGCACACGCCCTTCGGATTTGCGATGGGGATCCCCCTTCGTGGGACACCCTCATCGGCCACAACGGGCACCCCCAGCCGACCCCGAGCCAGTGGGCCCCCAGCACCGAGGATGGCAGCAGCCCGCCGCCAAGGCCACCCACGAAGCCTGCAGGGCCGAGGTGTACAGCCACCTGCCCCCAGCCAGCCAAGCCCTTCTAGACTCCCAGTCCGGACCATATGCGAGCCGAGCATTCACCAGCATCCCATACACCGCCGAGTCCACCTACTCTTCCGAACACTTTCGTTTGCTTATGCTTCGGAGACTCCGTCTGCCCCTCCCCCTGTCCACCAGGACTTGTCGATGCCGTCGCACTCTTGACACACTTGGTGACCATCGATCAGCTTGTGCACAGTCGGGGCTATTGCGCAGTCGCGGCGGGCCACTTGAACGAGCAGCAGCTCGCATTTGTCGTGAGGCCGGGGCCAGGGTGACCACCAACACCCGGGTAGCTGACTTGAACATACCCAATGTCCAAACCCTCGATGACCGCCGTATCGAAGTCATCGCAAATGGTTTGCCTTTGTGGGGGGGGTGCCCAAATCGCAGTCGACACCACCCTCGTCTCCCCTCTCACCCGGGAGAGCCAACCCAGACATCGCCACGACGCTCGCCGCAACAAAGAGCGGGTCTATCCAGAGCTCACCCGTGGCGGCCGCTGTCGCCTCGTCGTCCTGGGGATCGAAACTGGAGGACGGTGGAGCGAGGAAGCTTGCACCTTCCTCCGCCTCCTGGCACAATGCCGGGCACGACAAGCCACACCACTGCTCCGGCAAGCAGTTGCGGCAGCTTTGCTTCACCGCTGGTCCGCCACATGCTCACCCATGCGGCTTTCACGGCCTATGCGGCATCCCTCCAGGGCTTGGACTCCGCCCCACAAGCAAACATTGACGGAGACCCCCTGCCTCTTGGCCAGCTCCTCGCCCACCATGCCTCCACCGACCCACCCCAACCCAGCCGTCTCCCCTCCACCTAACCCACCCATTGGACTTTGCGAACCTGGGGACAGGCCAGGGTAAAAACTGTCAACAAGTCTGGGGACAGGCCAGCATAAAAACTGTCATAACCACTGTCACCCTTAGCCGTCGACCGGATGTGCGCGGAAAAAGGTGTGAGGAAAAAAAAGGTGCTAATCAAGATGAAACGTACTCACTCCACATGTCAAAGACATGACGCGCACAAATGAGAAGTGTACATGATACCTGCAGACCGCTTGTCAGCGTCAAAGAGTTTCCGCATGGTAGCGGAGCCTGAGAAGGCGACTCCTTCGGGTTTCGCTGGAGGCTCCGAGGAACTCTTTTAGACCGGGCTGGACCCTACCCGGTGGGCGCGCTCCAGCGCCATTTCGGCAATCAGTGCCGGTGGCTTTGTGAAGGCCGAGTTCCATGGTGGCTACATCCTGGCACCCAAGAAGGTCCTTGTGGAGGAAGATGGCAGGGTTTGGAGGAGATCCACTTAGATCACCTGCTGGGTCGCCAGCGGGCTCCCCGACAGGGGTGCAGTTCGATGGCCAGGAGTTGGCCATGAGGATGGTGCAAGCTGCCGAGCAGGCGAGTGTGGCAGCCCGTCTAGCTGCAGAAGCAATCAACAAGAAGTCCAGCGCCGATGATCGCGCATGGTTTCGAGTTTGCCCAAGCCCAGTAGCTACGAGCCCAAATCGCGTGAAGATGAACTTTCCCTATGGAGGGACTCCAGGTGGGGGCTGGAGCAGTATCTTGCTTCCCTGGATGCAGGATTTGTGGAGGACATCAAGGAGATCCGGGAGCATCCAGAACGCCCTATCGACCCATCCATCCAGACGGACGAGGAAAGGCAGAGAGGGTCATTTTTATATGCTTTGCTTGCCTCCCTGGTTCGTCATCGTCCACTCTTCCTCATCAAGCAGGTCAAGGAGGCCAACGGCATGGAAGCATATCGAATGCTGGTGCAGTCACTTGAACCCGCCAGCAAGAACAGGTCATTGGGACTCCTGACTATGATTTTTGGAGTGGGGTCAATTTGATATGAAGAAAGGTGGCATTTTGACCCAGTTGCTTCGCCTTGAAGAGGCCTTCACCGAGTACGAACGTACAGGAAGCAAGCTGGAAGACGCTTAAGATGTGGTTGCAGCTTCACGTAGCGGAAAGCCAGGACTACACCCGACTTCGAGAGGCGATCATCCAGTATGACAACGCTACATTGAAGTGGAGCTCAACGATGATGCTGGGCCAAGACACAGGTGGACCTGCTCCAATGGAGATTAAAGGGGGAGAACGGCAAAGGCAAGTTCAAAGCAAAAGACACCCAGAATTTCAAGGGCAAGGGCAAAGGAGAGGCCAAGAATTCGAAGGGCAAAGGAAAGGGTCAACAGAAGGGCTCAGACTATGGTAGTGGAAAAGGTGACGGGTCAGAAAGGTAAGAATGATACTGGGCCAAGACGTGCTACACCTGCGGCAAGCCTGGTCACCTAGCTCGAGTTGCTGGCGAGTACGACAAGTGGCAGATGGTTCGCCGCAACAGCAGGTACAGAGCCAAGGGGATGCTTCCTCGACGTGGACATCTACCAGCGGGAGCCAGGCCACGACGGCCAAGACAGCCACGGTGAAGAGGATTGTTGAGTTGAGCCCAGTTTCACAGGAATTTGAGGAACCCTTGATCTTCGATTCGAGGGGTCAGATGCATGATGGCCAGGTGAGGATGATTCAGTTCTACCGCCTGGACGAAGAGAACTTCAACGAGGACGATGAGAAGGAACTGAACATTATGGTGGTTTGAGCTGGAAGCCAGGAGCATGATCCTTACGGAACCTGCTCAATCATTGTGGACTCGGGAGCAGGTGCAACAGTTCTCCCGATCTCCTACCTAGCAGCTGGTGTTGAGGTTGAGGAGGATGGACCTATGTTGCAAGACGCTCAAGGTGAGCAAATCTCCATCGAGGGCTACAAAAGTGTCTGCTTCGTGTTCGAGGCAGAGAACGGGAAGGAGATCCAGATCTATGAGAAAGCCCACTTCTCAAAGGGCATTGCGCAGCCGATCTTGTCATTTGGACGGCTGATGGAAAGTGGCTGGGGAATTACCAATCATTCCCTGGTCTATGGTTCAGGTGATCGTGAGATCAAGATTCCTCTGCGCCTTCAAAACAAAAGCTTGGTGGCAGAGGGTAGTGTCAGGACTATCTCAATGGAGCTGAGGGTTCTCGAGGCAAAGCTCAAGGAGGACCTGGAGGAGAAGACGAGACTCCAAACAGGTTGGAGGTGCTTTGGAGACAGGTGGATTGGCATCCATTTGGGCAAGACCTTCCAGAACCCGCAGTATGTGGGAGATATCCCGTCAGCAGTGAACTGGAGGAGAACAACGCTAGCAAAGGTGGCTGGTGGTTGGCAGCTTCTGGAGATGTGTGAGGACCTGCACAGGGTCCTCAACCAGGAGGAAAAGATTGAGGGCGCCAATGAGAATGTCATGGTGGTCACTATCCTCACCAAGGAGGCGATGAGCGTGGAGGACATGGGGTTTGAAGTTGAGACTGGACTCCATTTGGATGAGCAACCAATGGTGGTCCGTGGTCATGAGATTGCGGAGGAGGATGTTGGCATTCCAGAAGAAGAGCCACCTGCCGACCAGAGAGAGGAGGCAGGAGGAGAAGTTGGAGCAGGAAGCGAGCGCCTGGGGCCCCTGACCACATCATGGTCAATGGCATTCAGCTCACTGCAGTTGGCCCTTTGAGACAGTTAAGGGCGGCGTGCAATTTCTTTGGTGTGAGCCAGTCCGGGAGTCGTCTGAAGTGCTATCAGCGCTTGGTTAGCCACATGAAGGAGATGGAGCTCAAGGCGGCAGAAGCAGTGGCAGCAGCTCAGTTGCAAGTGGCTCGACAACCAAGAGAACAACCAGGCATTCCAGCCGCGTCACAGGAGGAGTAGGAGAAGCATTGCCTCGCCCACGCGCCGTACCAACCCTGGTGTCCTGCATGTTTGAAACATCGAGGCCGACCAGACAAGCATATGAGGACGGGAGCTTCGCGGTTGAGTGGAATTCCAATCATTTCATTGGATCTGTGCTACACAAAGGCCGGAGAGGTAGATCGAAATCCACAACCGCTGGATCGAGGCCAAGAAGATGGAGAGATGGTCATTGATCTCTATGAGGAGGAGGAAGCCAAGGAGGCCGAGGAGCTACGCATCGAGAGCTCAAACCAGCCCTATGTTGATCATGGTGGACAGCCAAACAGGAGCTCTTGGTTCGGTCCCCATTGAAGTCGAAGGGACAACTCAGCTTGATGGCTCGTGAGATCATCGCATTCATTCAGAGCCTTGACGACCCTGCAGGCCAGAGCGAAAAAAAGAGGCCGACGCGTGCGTGTGGGAATATTCCGACCTGGAACCTGCAGCCTAAAACACAAAATTCAAGGCCCCGGATTTGTCCTTGGATTCCGACCGGAAACTCGAATCAAAAATCCAAAAGCCGATGGATCCGGGTTGTCTCTGATTTGTTTCTGTTTGTCTCTGGTTTCCGGCTGTTTTTTGAATCTAATTTAAAAAATCAGCGCTCTGCCGCAATGCGGGGTTCTGCCGCTGCTGTAGCGTGCGCTGTAGCGGATGTCGCGTCTCCCTGCGTGGCGCGGCATTGCCACCGCGGGTGCGGCGCAGGCTGAGCGCAAGTCGCTCGGCCTCGCGGTGAGACACGCCCTGGCGCTGCGGCTCCTCACGGATCGCCTGCCGCATCTGCGGTGTCACGTGCGGCGGTCGCGGCTCGTGCCAGTCGTGACCCCAGCGGCCCGGCTGCCAAGCAGCATCCCACCACCCCGCCAGCCATGCTCATTGGCAGTGTCGTGCAGGCGATGTCCTGCCAGCCGCTGCCAACCGTAGGGCTCGTCCGACCAGCGGCCTTGCCACTGCGAACCAGCTTCCTGGTCGGCCTCGTCTGCCCAGCGGCCCTGCCGCTCCTCCCAAGCCATGTCCGGCGTGTCCAGATACTGTGAGCCCATGCGAACATGCGGGCGCTAAATTTTGTACTTTTATACCTTTGTTAACTTTTTGCTAATTTTCGTCTTCAAAACAAACTTTCTCTGGAAAAGACTTCTAAAATTGAGTTCCAGTAAGTTCCAGGCAACTTCAATACTTTTTTAGAAAAGCAAAATTGAAACGAGCAAGTTTTATGTAAGGTATAACAGCGTCAGCATTTTCGTCGGGTCGGCGTCAACTCCGAAAATTCCAATGTTGGTGGAAAAGAATGCAAGTATACTTTTCTAAAGCCTCCAGCTGTTTGGGAACTGCACCTAAACAATAAATGGTTGAACGCACAAGTTCCTGATGCCCATGTCACATGCGCAAAACGATGGGATACCGGATATATGTCGCGAGAAGATCCGATGGTGATATCGCATTTCGAACACTGTGTCACTGTTGCATTCGTAGCCACATGAAAACATACCCAGACAAGGCGGTGGAGATAGGAGAAACGGCGTGGCCAAGCAGGGGACAAGCCCCGAATAAGACGGTGATAAAAGGGCCCACAACGTGGACAAGCAGGACAGGCAGACCTGGGCAAACAACAAAAGAAGGGCACGGGGTTTGTGCCTGTGGCACGAGGACAGCGGGCAACACCAGGAGGACGGAGGACCACAGGGTTCGAAAACCAGACGACAAGAACAGGACAAAAGGAGGAGAGGAGGACAAGAGGAGGACAGGAGGACGACAAGGACAAGAAAAGGGCAAGAGGAGGACAAGAGCAGGACAAAAGGCAGAGGAGGACAAGACCGGACACAGAGCCGGGCCACAGAGTTCAGGGGCGGGGCCAAGACAAGGACAAGAGGAGGATAAGAGGAGGGCGCGGCCAAAAGGAGGACAAGAGAAAGACAAGAACAAGAAGGCCTGGACACAGAGCTGGGCCACAGAGCCACCCACAGACTTAGAGGCACCGTTGTTGGGAACAGTGTCATGTTGAATTTTACATCTCTCTCTCCCTCTCTCTTTCTTTAGGTTTATCTTTCTTTGTCTTTCTCTCTTTAGAGCGCGCTCTGAGCGCGCCTTTCTGGAGCGTACGTCAGAGCGCGCGCGCCACAGAGCCCAGCCACAGAGTTGACAGAGTTCAGGGGCGCGGCCAAGAGGAGGACAAGGCCTGGGCACAGAGCTGGGCCACAGAGCCCAGCCACAGAGTTCAGCAACATTGCCAAGAGGAGGACAGGAGGAGGACACCAAGAGGGAGGACAAGGCCTGGACACAGAGCTGGGCCACAGAGCCCAGCCACAGAGTTCAGGGGCGCGGCCAAGAGGAGGAGAAGGCCTGGACACAGAGCCGGGCCACAGAGCCCAGCCACACAGTTCAGGGGCGCGGCCAACGTGTGTGTGGCCAGCTCTTTTTTCTATCATAGACCACCAACAGTAAACTGTTTTTTTTGGAGAAAAATGTGTAACTTACTTATCGGAAACTTACACAACCTATAGGGCTCTATAGTACACCATAGTGAGCTTCTAGTTCAATATAGCTTCAACAACTCCAGGGTCTCACCTTGTACCACTACAACAGCAACAACAACTACTACTTCAACTACTACTACTACTACTCCTACTCCTCCTCCTGCTGCTGCTGCTACTGCTACTGCTGCTATTGCTACTGCTACTGCTACCGCTACTGCTACTGCTTGCTTCTGCTTCTGCTACTACTACAACTACTACTAGCGCGACTACTACGACTACTACCCCCTACTACTTCTACTACTACTACTACTACCACTGCCACTACTGCTACTACTACTACTACTTCTACTTCTACTTCTACCTCCTTCCACTTCTACTTCTACTTCCTTCTACTTCTACTTCTACTTCTACTTCTACTACTACTACTACTACTGCATGCTTCCAGGATGACGACGACGACTACTACTCGTGTTGCTACTGTTCAAACTACTACTTCTACTACTACTTCTTCTACGACCACGACCGCGACCACGACTACGACTACTCCCACGACTACCACTACGACAACTGCTACTGCTACTGCTACTGGCTACTGGCTACTGGCTGCTGACTACTGACGACTACTACTACCACTACTACCACCACTACTGCTATTGTTGCTGTTGCTACTGTTGCTACTGTTGCTTCGCTTCTGTTGCTACTACTTCTACTACAACAACTACAACAACTACTACTACTAATTATTACTACTACTACTACCACCACTACTACCACTACCACAACTACAACAACTACTACTACCACTACTACAACTACTACTACTACTGCTACTACTACTACCACCATTACTACTACTACTGCTACTACTACTACTACTACTACTAGTACTAGTACCAGTAGTAGTACTGCTACTTCTACCTTTACTTCTACTACTACTACTACTACTATGACGACGACTACTACTGTTATTGCTACTATTTTGATTTGCGACCACCGACCACCATGCCCACCGCGGCAAACCGGTCGCTTTGCAACAGTTATCCGGAGGGCCGTGACGTGGAAACTTTTAAGAATGCGTTCGCTTTGCTTTGTTTTCGTTAGTCGTTGGGGTTGCTGTGTTGTCCTGTTGTCCCTGTGGAGTTTAGCGTGGGCCCTTCTCAATGCAACAGCATCAAAAGGCGAAAAGCACGCAGAGCACAACGCGGAGAAAACGGGAGGCGCTGCAGGAATCCTGCAGGAGTTCGCCAGCAACTGAATGCCTTGCAGGTGGGCAAGGAGACACCAAAGTGGTTGCGTAGGTCCGTAAGTTGTTTGGTCGTTTTAAAAAAGTGGGCAACGAGATCTTTTTGAAATTGCATGCGGAAAAATCATTATTTGTTTTGCAGGACGTTTCGGCTCTGCCGCCCAGTTCTGGCCGTATGGGTCGTATTTTGGCGAGCGCCATGTCTCAAAAAAACGCGGTTCGCCATTGTACTTGCAAGTGTTTTTCTGTACATGCTTCCGCCACAAAGTTGCGTCAACATGGAACAACATATGTCAAAATCATGCCAAGCTGCGGCACTGGGCCCGAACCCAAATGAAAATGATCTGGAAAGTTTGGACCGCAAGCTGCCGCAATACATGATAAAGGCATGCGGCATGGATAAGCGGTTGGCCATGAAACGCTGGGTGGAGACTTTGCAATGGAGGTGTTCCATTGGAGACGACGATGTCATGCAGAAACCAAACCCGCTGTATTTTCGCATCCACCCTCATTACCCGACATACTTACATCTAGAAGATCGGGCAGGACGCCAAACTTACTGGGAAATTCTAGGCCAGATGGATCCAAGAGCATTAGCAAGAGAAGGTTTGAGGACGGAAGAAATCACTGCCAATTACATTTGGCAAACATTGTTCACTTGGGATGTGTGGCTGGGGGGTGACGATGCTGCAGAAGGCACAATTATTGTTGACATGGAGGGGTTTCGTTTCTCCATGTTGACACTCCAAGTGGTGCAGATGTTTTCGACGACGTCAGCAATCATCCAAAAACACTTTCCAGAGCGAGAGCACGTTGTGGTCGTGATCAATGCACCGGCGTGGTGGGGCAAAATTTACAATCTGTTCAGTCCACTGTTCTCTGAAAAGCAGCGGCAAAAATTAAGGGTTTGTGTGGGGAAAGATTCTTCATTGAGGACGCTGCGTGAATTCATTGATGTGCAGAACCTCCCAGCAAAGTACGGGGGGTCTAGCAAGCCACTTGGTGAAGCACCAGCCGACGTCCTGAAACAGGAGTATGCATTGGAAGGAAAATTTCAACGCCGAAAGCAGAACCAAACGCATGGCAGACGGAGCGTTTGGATAAACTCCCAACATTTTGACACACTTTTGCTCATGGTGGTTTTGCTTGCCCAGATGTTTTGCTTCTTGTCGCTGGCTCCAGCTTGACTTTTATACACTCATGACCCATGACAATAGTGGTAGTCACCACATGCTCATTGTAAACCGGAAGTCTCGAATGTGTTAAATCGCAACAAGTGAGGATATGCGGGCAAATGCATATGCAGCCAGCAGGTGTATTTGGCATTCATGTGTCTTTGCAGATCGTATCGCCATGGATTCTTCAGGCGCTTGGGGGGCAGATATTTTGAGAGTTTCAGCTTCACAAACTGCAGCTGGGATCAATTCGTTCAGACTGTTTGTGTTTGTGGCGCTTTCTCTTGCAGGAGTCATCACCCACTCCCAGAATGGAAATGTCGTGCTCACTCCTTACAATAGTAGAATTGTACGTTTCAAGTTTCTAGGACTTTCTTCTGAAGTGGGCGTTTCCAGGTTGAAATCTCGTGCCAGTGAAGCTGGACAGGCTCTGAATACTGGAATGTTTTCTTCAGATCATTTGCGTCGCTCCGAAGCACATGTACATTTTGATCCGGATAATTCAGTGTTTGGTAGCATTGCCCAGTGAGTTCCAGGGCCTTTACTTATACTTATGGTCACTATGAACGAATTATACAATTTTGTTTCTTGCTCCTGGGCAGGCTCCACAGTTCATCCTGAAAGCGGCAAGCAGCTATGGCAATCGACGGCAATCAAGGAGAGCCGAGCCACACTTCAGCGGCAGGAAGAGTTGTAGGACATGGCGCGTCCATGAGCAGTAGTTTAGTTTGATCTCACTGTTAAGTTCCACAAGTGCCTTGGGGATGTTTGCAGACGGTCGCCATCGCTTGTCCAATCTCCATCGACGGAAAGGCATGTTGTGTTTTTCTTGTACTGTTGTTATTTTTTGTTGAATTGAATGTACGCAGACGAGTTGCTTTCCAAAAGCGAAGCCGCAGCTGACACCATGGCTCACAGTTAGAGTTTCTGAGAGTGAACTCCTTGGAAAACCACCAGGCTGGTAGCTGGGGAGTTGTTTCTTTTTTTTGGGTCGGGGCATGCAGGTATGCAGGCTTCGATTGTAGTGAGTTCTTGGCCAGGTTCATATTTCGTGACAGTTCGTCAACCCAATGTTCAGAGAAACCCAGGCTGCGGCAGTTTTACAGTTTGCCATTTCAAGT